GCTCTTCTGAGTTCCATATATTATGACTACCCATCTATACTGATGATCCAACTTTATATATTTACTTAGAGTGTCAACTCTATAATTCTTATAATATTACTCATAATCAACTATAACATCACTTTTTATCTCACTAACTCCCTCTCCCTCTCTATCTCTGTCTCTTTACAGTCAACATTAGCTGAGCAGTCCATATTAGCAGTTCTGGTTGCATTCCCACTGTCCTAGTATGCGATGGCAGCAGCGACAGCGACGCTGGAGGAGAATCATGCACGGCCCCGCGATATAGCCAGCGATAACAGCGCCCAACAGCGAACGCTGGCCACCAAGGTGCGGCGAAAAGCATGGGACAGGCGGCCACTGCGGCGACTGCATCCGCCCATACCGCTTGGCCAGCTGCTCTGGCTGCTGTGCTGCCTCAGCCAGCTGCGGGCCGAGTGCCCGTCGGTGTGCGAGTGCAAGTGGAAGAGCGGCAAGGAGTCCGTCTTGTGCCTTAACGCCAACCTAACACATATCCCCGAGCCGCTCGACGCGGGCACCCAGCTGCTGGACCTAAGCGGCAACGATATACAGACCATACCCGACGACAGCTTCGCCGCGGCGCAGCTGCTCAACCTGCAGAAGGTCTATCTGGCCCGGTGCCGGCTGCGGCTGATCGAGCGACATGCGTTCCGCAAGCTGATCAATCTCGTCGAGCTGGACCTGAGCCACAATCAGCTGACGGCAATACCCTCGCTGGCGCTCTACCACGTCTCGGAGCTGCGAGAGCTGCGGCTCACGGGCAATCCCATAACGCGCGTGCCGGACGACGCGTTCGGCCATGTGCCGCAGCTGGTGCGGCTCGAGCTGAGCGACTGCCGCCTGTCCAGCGTGGCGGTGCGCGCCTTCGCCGGCCTCGAGAGCAGCCTCGAGTGGCTCAAGCTGGACGGCAACCGGCTCCGCGAAGTCCGATCGGGCACCATAACATCGCTGGCCTCGCTGCACGGCCTGGAGCTGGCGCGCAACGAGTGGAACTGCAGCTGCTCGCTGCGGCCCCTGCGCACCTGGATGCTCCAGCAGAATATACCCAGCGGCATACCGCCCACATGTGATGCGCCACCGCGCCTGGCCGGCCGCGCCTGGGACAAGCTGGACGTGGACGACTTCGCCTGCGTGCCGCAGATCGTGGCCACCGACACCACCGCGCACGGCGTCGAGGGGCGCAACGTGACGATGAGCTGCTACGTGGAGGGCGTGCCCCAGCCGGCGGTGCGCTGGCTGCTCAAGAATCGGCTGATTGCCAACCTGAGTGCGGCGGGCGCCGGCGAGGATGCCGAGGAGCCGCGCACGGCGGCCGCCACCCAGGGGCGCAAGACCTACGTGGTGAACATGCTGCGGAATGCCTCCAATCTGACAATACTCACCGCAGACATGCAGGATGCGGGCATCTACACCTGCGCCGCCGAGAACAAGGCCGGCAAGGTGGAGGCGAGCGTCACGCTGGCCGTCTCCCGCCGGCCGCCCGAGGCGCCGCTCGGCGTGCGCGTCGTGCTGCTGGGCGTGCTGGCGGCGCTCTTCTTTGTGGTCGGCTCCTCGTTTGCGGCCATTTGCTTCTGTTCGCTGCGGCGTCGCCGCAAGCTGCGCCTCTGGAACTCGGTGCCGCCGGTGCGGCGCAGCGAGAGCTACGAGAAGATTGAGATGTCCGCGCGGGTGCGACCGGATCTGGGCGGCGGCGCCAGCTGTGGCGGCGGCAGCGCCACCGGCGCGGGTCTCTTTCAGGACGCCGAGGAGCAGAGCTATCTGCGGGCAGCGCACACGCCACTCAACGACCACGATGCGGGGCAGTCGGCCATTGTGAATCCCAGCGCAGGCACTGCCACGCGACGCAACGGCGACTACCTGCATGTCTCCACGCACTGCGACGACGACGACGAGGAGCAGCAGCAGCAGCAGCAGCAGCAGACATCGCAGCAGTCATCACAGCAGCAGCAGGCGCAGTCCAAGTCGGGCACGAGAAAATCCTCCACATCCGCTGCGAATAATGCAGCAGCGGCCATCGAGGAAACGGATCTGCACATACCGCGCCTGATTGACATCGGCGGGTGAGTTGACCTCCCACATTACACCGCCCACTTGCCCCATCCCACTTGCACTTGCCACACTTGAAGCAGCTCTCGCTGCTGTTGCTTTTGTTCTCTGCGGTTCGTTACTTCGAGTGGCAATTGTCCTGTTGCAGTTGCCCCGTCAAAGAGCTGTCATGCTCTAGTGCGCTGCACGCCCGGATCCGTTCCATATTATGGGCAACACTTGACACTTTCTGCTCGAGTGCTGCTGCTGCTGCTGCTGCTGCAACCATCCATCCCATTTCCCGCCCGTCGCCCCACACCCACCCTACCATCCTTGCGAGGACGCGTGCTAATGACGCGCAAAATATGCGTTGCCTGACACGCCACGCCACGCCACGCCTCGCATGAGTATTTTATTTTTGGGCCACCCCTCGCTGATTGCCGACTCTCATGTCGAACGCAAACGAGCCTGGGCAGCACTCCAAGTGCCTCTCATATGGAATATAATGAATACGGAATGTCTGCACCTCCCTTTTCCTATCCCTCTGTCTCCCTCCCTACGACAATGCAACGAGTAGAGGCGCTGGGCACAAATAGATTCCAAGGAGATGCCGAGCTGAGGGCACAAATCAATGGCCAGCTCTGAGAAAATATGTTACAAGAGATAGTCGGAAGAGTT